GAGCACGTCCGCTCTGCTGCCGGCGTAAGGCGGGGGCCTGGCCACTCCTCTCGCTTCTACCAAAAAGAACTCGGTCACGCTACCAACCTCCCTGGACGATGGGAGCCGTGACTAGTCTCCCTGGGCAGGAGGACAAGAAAACTCCCCAAATTACACCCTCAGCATGTCATCCATGAGACGTTGGGATATTGAGGAAGGAAAGAGGGAAGGAGGGAGTTCTGTCTTGGAAATCAAAGCTAGAACAGCGCGGAGTGGGGATTCCGGTCGGCGGATCTTAGCCCCCCCCCGCCCCAGTACACACAGAGCAAAGCTCGCCCTCCGCGTGAAAGCAGTCATGGCAGGAAGCTGTCGTTGAGACTGAGGGTGGCTGCCATGTCCAAGGAGTGTGACGGGGACCGTGCTCAGCGATGGCAGCCAGAGGCACAGACCCCATCGGAGCTGGGGGGGTTAGGGGGGGTGCAGAGGGACTGCCGTTGTCATGTGGAAGCAGGGGACGAGGACAGGGAGCGGCCGTGTCACCTGAGGCGGCTGCGGCCGTCCCTCCCCGGCTCCCACTTTGCTCGCCGTGAAGAGCATCTGCCCGTTTTCCCGGGAACTTTCATTAAATACCCTTCCGTGGGTCAGAAGTGTACACAGTAGAAATAAGGATTCAGAGAAAAGTGTGAGATGCAGCTACTTCCCCAAAGTGACTGGAAATCGTGGACGCTTGGATGGACAGATACGTGGGGGAGGGAAGAAGAAAGATAAAACCAGAGCGTCACTCAGGTGGCCCAGTACCCAACTAAACATACTCCATGGAGAAGACGAAATGAAGGGGATGAAAGTCAAAGGAATAACTGAGGACATTTGCCCAGCACTGAAGAGCGAAACTTTCTCTGTGTGAAGGGCTCCACGTGCCCAGCTGGGATGAGACCCACCCCACAAGCCACCGTCAAATCCCAGGGCCCCGGGGAGGGCAGACACCGCAGCCTGCAGGTCCGGGTGGGGGCGGCCTGAGAGCTACAAGACACCAGAAGTGTCACCAAGGCTCAGAATAGGTTATTTTCACCTAAAAGTCTAAGCCCCACCACGCTGTCTATGCCTCTTCAAGTCTTTTGCCCAATCTTCTGTTTTTTAAATTGATTGATAAGCGTCCTTATGCATTCTAGATGTGCCTCCTGGGTCAGATTAAAGTATTACAGCCCCCCCCTGCCCCCCCGCTTTCTTTCTTTCTTCACACATCTTCTCCAGCGAATAAAGTAGCAGCTTGAAAACGATGGTCCGTTTGGGGCTCCTTGGAGAGCATGTTGTCAAGGAATCTGTGTTCCTTAATTGACTGAGCAGTGGTCGTGGGCTCCCCTCGGAATATTTCCCCTCTCACCCCCACTTTCCATCTGTGTGCGTTGTTCAGGCTGCAGCAAGTCCCTGCAGGCACGTGGGTCTTGTCTTTTTAATCCGTGCAGCCTCTAATGTCTGTGTTTGGAGAAGTCGGTCTGTTTACACTCTGGCCGTTTTGTTCATCGATTTCTTGTGATTCCTTCCTTCCTTCACGATTCGGGACTTTGAATTCTCACTAAAGAGTTTTCAATTGTTTCTCTAGACTAAGTATCTGCAAATAATGTCACGTAAATAATAATTTCATCCTCTTTCCCAAATCGGTGCCTCGGTTGTAATTATACAAGCATAATGCTGCCAGTGAGGTGACGTCATCTTTACTGCTCTCCTTCAAAGTAACTTTGTGTTCATTGCAGAAAATTCAGAGCATCAGGAAGGGTTACTTTAAAATAAATCCATTTGCCAGAGATAACCCCCAGCTGCGCTTTGGGCTAGTCCTCCCATCTTTCCTTGCACACGCACGCAGTTTTAAGTAAAAGTAAGACCCTGCCACACGTGCTGCTCGGGTTGTGAGCACTCGCCGTAACACACCGTCTCCTCCAGAGCGTGTTCTCACACCTGCGTGTCCCTGACAGCTCATCTTCCAGAGGCCATTTCCCGCCTTGCCGACGTTTACGTCATTTCAGTATTTTTAAGCAACGCTGTGCAGATCAGCCATTAAGAAATGTTAAGTGACCAGTTCTCCCTCCACGATTCCTTTTCTAAAGGTACTTTTTTCTGGAAAATTAAAGTATTAGGAGAGGGGACTTGAGGGTCCCCCAGAGCCTGCGTTTGAATCTGCTCTGCCACCCCCGCTCAGGCGCCTCAGACAGGGACCTGTGTGAGGCTCCCTCCCGAGGGGTCACTCTCCTGCTGCTCCTTTCCCTCTTCAGGCGCTTGCTCAAGTAGAGCGAGAGCCTTGGGGAACTTTATAAAGAGGTTTTTGTATTCTTCCTCCCTTGTCAAACTTAGGCTGGTTTTCTAGTTGTGGGTGTTAATGTGGTTCCCCCTCTTTCTCTCCCAGAGATGAGAGCGCGGTTCCCACAGCTGACCGGCGTGCTGACCCTGGCTTTCTTTATCCACAACTGTGTCATCACCCTGCTGAAGAACAACAAGAACCAGGAAAACAATGTGAGTAATTACCGAGGATGGAGGCTTGCTTCTGGGCCTTAACTTCTAAGTTAAACCACAGACAATGGTCAGCAGACTTTTCCTGTGAAGATTCAGGTGGTAGATATTTCAGGCCTTGGGGGCCGTGTGATCTCTGTCATCCCTGCCCCAGGCCTGTTGTGGCCGAGTAGCCATGGGCAATATGTAAACAAGTGGTGATGGCTGCGTTTCAAGGAAACTTTATTTACCCAAAGAACAGCTGCCTGGTTTCACAGGGCCACAGTTCGCCAGCTCCTGCTTGAGCAAGCACTAAAAGCAGAGGCCAGGCTGATAGCCAGCGTGGTGATGAAAGCTTTAAAAATACCCAAGTGACCTGAAAGACAGGAAAAGGGAAAGGAAGACTAGATGGGACAGATAGAAAGCACACAGCAAGGTAACAGCTTTAACCCCAGTGACACTGATAATTACATTAAATAAAATAGTCTAAATATTGCAATCAAAAGATAGGGATTGTCAGAATGATTTAGAAATCTACCCCTATGCTACCTACAAGAAACTGACTTCTAATAGAAAGATGTACCATGAAGACGCTACACCAGAAAGCCAGAGCAGCTGTTTTCATATCAGGGTAGACTGCACACTGCGGAGTGTTGCCAAAAGAGAGAGGAGCATTGTAGAATGACCTGTAGGGATCGATTCATCAAGAAGACATAGTAATCCTACATCCGTGTGCACCCTGTGACAGAGCTTCCCCATAATGAGGCAGCAGCTCTCAGAGCTGGCGATTTGGGACTCCTCCCTTAGTAACCGAGAGGACAAACAAGAGAAATAAGGCACAGGAAACTCGAAACGCACCAGCCGCCTTTGTGGTCTCATTCATTTATAAAAGCCTCCTCTCAGACAGCAACACGTGGGCCTTTCCCAAGACGGACCATGTACCGAGCAAGTCCCAGTAAACTTGGAAGGATTGAAATCATACCGCGCATCTCTTTGACCATAGTGAAGACATCAATAACAGAAGGAAATTTGGGAAATTGACAGATATTAAACAACGTATAGGGTGTCCCAAAATTCACACAAGAATTGCAAATCTTGCGTGAATTTTGGGACACCCTATATTCTTAAATAACCAACGGATCAGAGAAGAAATTACAAGAAAAATAGAAAATGCTTGGCGATTACTGAAATTGAGACAAACATACCAGAATTTATAGGATGCAGGTAAGAGTGCTTAGAGGGAAACGTACAGCTGTAAACACCTATATCGGAAGAGAAGAAAGATCTCCAATCAATAACCTAACCTTCTACCTTAAGGCTCTGGAAAAAGAAAAGCAAAATAAACCCAGAGCGAGCAGAAGGTAGCCAGTTACTGCGGCCTTGTCTGCGGATGTGGGGCTCAAGGTGATGGCTTCTAACCATGTAAACAAAGTCAGGATGAAGCTCTCGCCGCCGCCGTCCACACGCTGTCGCTGAGCCACACAGGAAGGAAGCGCCCTCGGGCCTCGGGTTCTGAGGAGGCTCCAGGTAGCACCCGGCAGAGGCGTCCAGAGGGCAAACATCTTCCTCAGTGGAAGGAAGTTAGCTGTCAACCGCGGGCAAGAACGTAGGTCAGGCTCATCGATCTTCATCTTTCTGTCACCTGGGGACATGCATCTGGCATATGACCTGTGAGGGAGTTGGGATTGAGTGAATCCGGATTTTCCAAAGTTCCTAACTTGGTGACCTTCAGATTACCTTGTCTTCCTGTGAAATAATAGTCTGGTTTGGTACTGAACCTCGGCCTTCGTCACCATTAACTATTACAAAGGAGGAGGAGCGTCTCCTGGCCCGGGGCGGGGCAGCACTGGGCCGCCTTCCTTCCTCCCTGACCGTCAGACGGGATCTGGGGACCAGGAGTGTCCCCGCAGGTTCTTCTGGGCCTTTAAGTTGTGTAACGAGGACACGTTCGCTTTCGCCAAGACTCCCTCCTGCGAGTGAGTGAGTTAGCTCCCAGGAAAGCCCTACCTGGGCCTCCTCCATCAGCCTTTCTCTCCTCTCCTCCCTGCCTGCTTTCACACGGTCTCGTCGTACTCAGGAGGGAGCGAGCAGACAGAGGTGAGGGCGCAGCGAGGAAACAGAAGCACGCGCTGGAGTGGAACCGGGTTGGACACAGACGGGGAGCAGCAGCGTGGGGGAGCCGTGGGGAGGGTGGCACAGCCACCAGGTGCAGCCCGAGGGGCAGGGGCTGTGCCAAGCTGTGCCAGGCTGTGGCAGGAAGAGGAGAGGGCCCTGATGGGAAGAATGAAGGCGCCAGAGTGAGTGACAGGCGCTCCGGGCAGGTCACCTGGGAGGGCCTCGGACTACACACACTGAGATGAGGCGGGAATGTCGGGAGCGACGCCCGCGTGGAAGGAAGGAGCATGACGGCTCAGCTAGACGTGGGAGGTGCTGCTCTGTGATGACTGTGCATGAGGAGGGCCCCCCGCCCTCAGTCCTGCCCCCACCTGCCCGCCGACGCCTTCTCCCTGAAACAGGTGGACGTGCTTTCCTGGCGGAGAACAGCCCGGGCCCTGAGCCAGGCGGCCTGCTGCTTTGCTGGCCCTTGTGCAGTGTGTACCCTGCTTAGTTCCGCAAAAACAAGTGGAAAGGCTTCGTGTCTTACTTCTGCCTCCTGGCGGGAACCTGGGTGTACATCCGGCCCGCCAGCAGGCGTGTCTGCTGCTGTCAGGCCGACCTGTGCTCAGCTCCCCTCGTGTTAGTGAAGGCCCCGGGGCGGGTTTTCATCAGCACGGGGAGTTGGGGGGCGGGCAGGACGCCTGGAGGGGGCAGGACGCGGGGACTGTGTGTGAGCAGCGCACCGTGCACAGGCCCTGAGCCGTCGGTGCTGTCGCCCTGGCCCATTCCAGCAGGAAAGGTGTCCGCTATCAGGAATGGGCCTAAGCCCCAGTGGCCAGTCTTCTCGTTGCGTTAGTGTTTCCTCATCGGCTTTCTTAGCTTTCACAGCAGTTGGTGTTTAAAATGAAAATGAACGGGCCTGTTCCTCACGGAGCGACGGA